CGGGACGAGTTAGAACTAACTTAATCGTATATATGCAGGTATTACGGAGAAATGACAAAATTTCCAACCGAGAAGCATTCCTTTCGTTTTTCATCTTCTGCACGAGAATTTACTCCGGAAAATTGAATTAAGTGTTTAATTTCGTAATGGTTGGATTAGCGTTTCTATTACTGCTAATTAGATCCTCATAATTATTCATAATAAGAATTTTTAATGTTTTCATTAGAACTAATTTTTTACTTTTTTATTTTTGCGCTACATTTACTTTTTGTTATCCAAAAAGTCTACTTTTATTGTCAAAAATTTTAATTTTTAATTTTTAATTATATCTTTCAATTTTTAAATTAAATTTAAAGGAATAAATTTCTTTGACATTCTGTGGCGGGGAAAAAATGTTAATTTGCTCTTTAAAGGTATTTAAAACATTCTATTTAAATTTCGTGACATCGGTAACTATTTTAATGTTTGGACTTTTTCCAAAATCTCACTAATATCGATTTTCGTGTTATTTTCGAATTTTTAACTATACAATTTAGAGTAAAAAATTTGTCACATGTTTTTTTATTTGTTTTTTTAACTTAGTGTGTAACAAATAGCTTTCAAATTAATTTTCTTTTCTTATTTTATTCACAAAATGGCTTTTAAATTACTTTATAGTAAATAAGATATAAAATCTCCTCATGCGAGCCAGATGTGTACATTTTAATTTGAAATTTAAGTGCAGACTATGTGCATTAATTTGCATATGAAAAATAAATAGGCACCATATGGTTAAGTCTGTTTTTTCGTTTTTTTATCTCTAAATGATTCATTACTCATATTAATTTCTATTATAATTAATTGATACAAATTAAATATTAGATTGCAGTAAACAAATATTACGTTTTTATTACTGCTTAATATTTTTTTATTACTGCTTAATATTTTTTTATTACTGCTCAGTAGTTTTTTTTATTACTACTCAATAAAGTTTTTTTTATTACCGCTTTCAATTTAAAATAAATATTTAAAAAAAATACCCAAGAGAAAAATGTCGACAGGAAAATTTGTTTTTTTGGATAAAAATAACTGGAAAAAATTAAATTATAGTAACAATTGTGTATTTTCAAAAATGGCTAACAAGCAATAAAGTGATAGAAATGATTTGAAATGATGATTGAGAATTTTCTCTCTCTCTCTCTCTCTCTCTCTCTCAATAATGATGATGTATTCCATTACTATTGTGGACAATGGGATGAAAACCGTATTTATCCACATGATATTTCACAGTTCGAATATTACCGCCAGGTTCGTGAACAGTATACTCTCCATGCACGTGATGTCCTGAATAATTTTTCAAAAATTTACCATTCAGTTTTTTTAATTTGATTGAGAGAAAAATAAGACAACCGTAAATTGGAATTTTCGTTACATTTTTTAGATTTTAAAAAATTTGGATGGAAATTTTTAATTCTGGTAAAAGTCTATCTTGGGAATGAAAAAATATTACGGGAATAATTAAAAATAAAGTAGGAGTAAATAGAAAAAATTAAATATTATAAATTCAAATAATTTAATAGAAAGAATTAAATATTAAGTTCAAATAATTGAAAAGAAAGAATTAAATATTAAGTTCAAATAATTGAAAAGAAAGAATTAAATATTAAGTTCAAATAATTGAAAAGAAAGAATTAAATATTAAATTCAAATAATTGAACAGAAATAATTAAATATTAAATTCAAATTCAATAAATAAAGTATAACTTTATTGAAATAATTTTTTGAATTAAAAAAAAAAAAATTAGTAAGTAACAAAATTTTAATTAAAATTATAAATTCTAATTTTTTGCTTAAAAAATTATTTCAATAAAGTTATACTTTATTTATTGAATTTGAATTTAATATTCAATTGTTTAAATTAAATATTCAATTATTTGAGTTTAATATTCAATTATTTGAATAAAATATTCAATTATTTGAATTTAATTAAATTAGAATAATTAGAATTTCCAGTAAATAATTTTTTTTAATACTGACCGTCATGATGTTCTTTATGACCGTGAAAATCTTTGGTATGATAATCTTTGACACCATAAGAGAACTTATAATGAGGCGATGCAACATAATCGTGATGATGATGTCCATGCTTATCTACCCAAGAGACTTTTTGGTGATGGCCATGGACAGGTCCATTGTAATGTGCAAACGAATAGGCTTTGTGGTGATGATGGTCATGTCCAAATGATCCCAAACTTCTTCCAAACAATAGAAATATTAAAATTGATAATGGAAGAATCTGTGAAAAAATTTCGTCTTTAAATTCTGTAAATTACTAATCAAGAAAAATAATAATATGCAATTATTCATAAATTATAAATTTTTAAGTAGTTATTAAATTAATTAATTTTTAAATAATTAATTAATTTAATTTAATTAATTAATAATTAATTTTTAAATAAATTCAAAAAAATTCAATTGCAATTTTCATTCAATTTCTTTAATTCAACAAAATTCTGTTCAATTCCAAATATTTTCTAATTATTATTATTTATTAAATTAATTATTGAGTTTATTATAATTATTAATTAATTATTCTCTTTGCGTAAATTATTAATTTTTTTATTCGTGTTAATTAATAATTATTCTATTCTTATTAATTATTACATTCGAGTTAATTATTAATTATTATATTTGAGTTAATTATTAATTATTCTGATTCGAGTTAATTATTAATTACTCTATTCGAGTTAATTATTAATTATTCTATTCGTGTTAATTATTAATTTTTCTATTCGTATTAATTATTTTTAAATAATTAATTAAATTAAATTAATTAAATTTTTTTGTGATTGACAAAAAAACCAATAAAATTACCTAAAAAAATAAATTTATTAAATTAAATAAAAAAAAAATTTAAGTAAACACTTACAAATTGAAACACTGACATTTCGATGAGAAATTTTCCAATGAAAACTGTCAGGATCTCAGGGAGTCGATAGACTAAATTATTTTTCAGTCTTATCTCAATTTATATCAATGAAAAATATTGACAAACTTTAGTTTATTAACAAAACAAAAAAAAGTGGGTCGATTCATGAGTTTTTTTTCGGTCCCTTGACTCTAATTTCCATTTTGTTGCAAAAGAAAAAATAATTTCTTCGCAAATAATATTCATTGGTGCGGAACATTATATATTCAAAAGAGGAAAGAGACAATAAAGAACCGAAAAAATTAGATTGAAAATTTCTCAATATTCGTCATTACAATTATTAAATTATGAGAAATTCATTTTTTACGCGCGCCTGTCGGAATTTCTTTCAACATTTTTTTTTTCGTTTTTCCGGTCATTTATTAATTTTACAAATTTTCTTTTATGTTTATATTTTTATTTCTTTATTTTTATCCTTTTCTTAAAATTTCTTTATTTGCTTTTATTAATTTTTTGAATTATTTTTATTTATTTCTTTTATTTTATTTATTTATTTTATTTTCTCTTTAATTATTTTTACTTTTCTATTATTTACAATAAAATATATTTTAATTTAATTATTCCTTAAAAAAAAATATTGTTTATGCAATTAAATTATTATTCCCGTTTATAAATATATTAATAAATTATTCCCCTTAAAAATATATAAATTTATTATTAAACTGGGTCAAAAACTACATAGAAAATATGTTTAACAAAGATTGACAAAAATCGACTATCCTACGGGGGTCGATTTTCAAAAAAACAAAGAAAAGCACCGATTTCCTGTTAGATTTTCTCTTGTATTCAGAAATTCGATCAGCATCTGTTAGGGACAATATCCGCCCGTATGAATAAGACACTTTTAGGTAAAGATTTCCGGTCACATAAAGTGTGCTTAGTTTTGTAAAAAAGAATTTCTAAAAGTGTTTTAAAGTTACAAAAAAGAATTCAGTGATTTAAATTCAAAATTTAAAAAAAAAAAAAATTCAATAATTGATTATAAAAATAGTTGAATAAATATTTAGTATTGAAGATATTTTCGAAACGTTTTTTTGTTGATAACAAAAAAAAGAAGGTAAAAATGGTTCTTTTCTACACAGATGGATTGCTATTTTTAAAACTCCGTTTATTATCTCATCAATTTATTTTAATGGACCATAATTCGTTCAATAACTCTTCGATAGTGTATATTTTTGGGTGTTCCTTAAAGACTTTGCAGAAAAAAAAGTTGTTATCGATTAATTAATTTTGTTATTTAATTATAAATTTTTATTTTAGTTTCATTTATTTTTATTTCGTTATTTATTATTTTATTGTTATTTATTTATTTGTTAAATGATAAATAAATTTATTTAGTTATTTTTTATTCAATTATTTATTATTAAAAGAAATTAGAAAGTTAGAAGATTAAATTAATTAAAAATTAGAAAAAAACATAAAAGAAATAAATTAGACAGATTTTATTCTACAATGAAATTTTAAAACAGTAGAATTTAGTTTTTGAATTAATGAAAATAGCAGAATTCAGAATAGGAAAAAGGGACATTAATTATGTGTATTTAATTTTCACGTGTGGGTCATGAATTTAAACGTGTGGCAAGAGTAGTAGACAAATAACTTCACATCCCTCTTTTTTTCCCAATGTTTAAATCCCCTAACATCTTTCTAATATTAGGACTTTCTCAAGTTTAAGAACCAGTATAGTTTTTACTCTTATATTTATTCTTAGCTCAAAGGAAGATCAACTCTCTTCTCTTGAAATCGTCTTCTATTTACCTTTTCGAATTCTTTAAAAATCAAATCTGAATCGTAAAAATTCGACATTATGCAATTTAAGAAAAAAATTTTTACTCGATTTGAAAATCTCATCAATTGTCAGAAAATAATTATGCGAAAAGAATTTACAAAATTCTTTTCTTGAAATTTAGTTTATTTTTATATATTTATTTATTTATAAATATGTATTATTTATTTAATACTTTATTAATTTATTTGGCCAATTTATCAATTTACAAATTTACTCATTGTGGAATTTTGTTTTCTGTTTCAGTACAAATATGCCGCTGCAGGACATAACTATGAATCAAACACTTCCTCTAGTCAATGGTGAATAATTTTTTATTCTAAATTATTTGCATTCGCTTTTCGAAAATTGTAGTTGTAATATTTTTATTTTTGTCTAAATTGTCACAACTTCACAATAACTTGAGAAATATTTGAGATTTAATTTAAACGATATTAATAATGTGAAATAATTTTCGTCTGGGGTCATTAATCGATCAGACATCAAAATGAATTGGTTCATTGTTCGAAGGTCTTCTCACTGTACTTTTGATATGATAGACAATGAGACTATATTTCTTTGCTTTTCTCGATCGTCACTACCGCACCCAACGTTTTATTGTTAATTTCCGAGACAAATTGGTTCCCAAGTGAAGCGTATCATTTTGCCACAGTTAACGGAAATGATTATCGAAAATGTCGAAAAAAAAGTCATTTGCATTTTGGATATTTTCGATTGGCTCTTATCACTCGAAATGATAGTCTTTTTATTGACAGTATTTTTTTTCATTTCAATTTGTAAATTGACAATTTACTTTTTATACATTTCGAGGAAGCTCGATAGATTAGAGACAGGATTCGTTTCGATTAATCGTAATTTTAATTAAACAGTAATTGTGTTTAATTTATTATTTTTTATTTGAAACAATTGTAAATGTTCAGATTTTTTGATTAAGTACAAAAAATTTTAATTTTCTGTATAATTTTTTTTTCATTTATTTAATAAATAAGTAGTTCTACACTTAATAAGTATCAAAGCTTTCCTGAAATATTGTCAAAATTCTAAATTTGAGTGACAGTGTAGGACTGCGACAAAATTGTCGACACAAAAGTTTCTGAGAATTGTTTTAAGTACTCTCGACCACCAAAGGAGGACGTGGAAAATTTCAAATTAGTCCTTTTTTTGACTATTATTAGACGATTGTTTTCTAGAAGCGAATACAAATAATTGACAAAATATTAAAATTTGGTAAAATTGATTTTTTTCGAATATAAGTATCAATAATATTTTTTTAGTTTTACAGAATAATGTTTATCTTCGATTTTCTTTCTCGATTCTTCGGACTTACGAATTGAATATTTTTTAGGGAATTTGGCGTTCGCTAATTTGGAATTTTTTTTAATGAACAAAGAATGCGGTGTAGTTAGAATTAAATCCAAAGTTACTCGATCTTGAAAGTGATGGATGAAGCATAAGAAAAGGTAACGACCGGAACACAAGAGGGAGAATATTTCAACTGGATACTGAGAATTGAATTGACAATATTTATCATTTGGCAATATTTGACAACGTTTATCATTTTAGCGAAGAAAAAAATAACTTAAAAGGAGAATTGCAAATTTGGAACAAAAATTTTTCCCAAATTTCTTTTTAGAGAAATGGATCTTTTTAGAGAGGAGAAAAAGGAGATTTTTTACAGCAGTTAAAATAAAATAATTCGAATTTCTATAATTTTGGCGGAAAAAAGTACCAAAATTCTCCCCAAATTTCTTTTTGGAAAAGAAGAATTTTTACAGCAGTTAAAATAATATTCGAATCTTTATCATTTTGCCGAAAAAAAATGTAAAAAGAAAAGTTTTATTTTGGATAAACGAAAGTTTTTATGAGAAAAAATTGAAAAAAGACGAATTTTCACAGCAGTTGAAACAAAATTATTTGAATTTCAGCAAACAGACATTGTATATTTTCGTATAGACGCATTTATAGACATGTGATCTCTCGCATTTGTGCATGAAACTTATCATTGTGGCTGTGTTGAAAATAATTGCAATCATCAAGACTGGACAGAAGGGCAATGAACTGTATCAGAATAAGCTGGTAAACGCTTTGAGAAAGTACAACAAGATGTTGTAAATTTTGGATTTTACCATAGCAAATTCATGTCAGACGTGTCGGACATTTACACTTTAGCGAATGATTCTGCACTTCCGCGATCTTGACAATTAATCTTCAGATAAGAATTCCTCTTGTATTTCTCTATTCTCAATTATGTAACTTCTCTTTGTCTCCGAATTTATCAACAATCTTTCAATTTCCGAAAATTCCGATTTTTTACTCATCAGAAATTATCATCGTTATGCTTCAATTCTAATGATTAAATGATAAAAATTCTAATTGAACGAATTTAGTATTGAATAATTATTTCAATTCAATTATCAAAAGATATTTTTCTAAATTTCTCAAAATTTCTCGCTAAAAAGAGAATTCTGTAATTCGTTTTGATTTTTCTATTTTTCTGGAAATTCGAATTGCAAATTAAAATTTCAATGGAACAATCGGCGTAATTCGTTTGATGTTTCAGTGACATAAATAAAATTTGAATGATCCGCTGACCAACTATGAATGGATCTCGGCTAATCAGAGGCGCCACTCGTGAAATGTAGATCAGCCGAGCAATTTCCTTTTACCTTTTCTTTCGCTCGTTTACTTTTCTTTTTGTTTCTCTGAATTCCGAATTTTTCTTTTTTCTCTCCTTTTAATCGGGAACGAAGCGAATCGCCAGACCCAAAGAATGAAGACCTCTTTGAATAAAAGATTCAAAGTGAAACATCTTCTTGGAAGAGCTTTCAAGTCCCCTTTTTTTGGTTTTCTCCTTGTTTTTCATTATGTACCCGGGAATAGGAATTATAAAAATCTAACTGGAGACTAATGAACTCTATTTGAGTTATGTAAAAAGGAAAATAGTTTTTTTCGACAAAAATGTTTTTTCTTTTTGACAAGAACAGGGCTCCAACTAGGTCCGTAAATTTGCTTGAAGCCCGTAAAAGTCCGCTTTTTTTTTAAAAAGGTCCGTAAAGTCCGTAATTTGATTGAGAAAAGACGAAAAGTTCGTAAATTGCACGATATAATTTGGAGAATTTTGGAGAAATTACAATTGATTGCAGAAATTCAATTCTTTTCAAAATTAATAAGATTCTTCGCAGAAATTCAATTATGTTAAAAATTTTTTTAAAATTCTCGTCGAAATTTCTATTACTTTTAGAAATAATTAAATTCTTCTCCGAAATTCAATTATTTTAAACAATTTTAATAAAATTCTTGGCAAAATTTAAATTATTTTCAAAAATTTTCCTCCATAAATGATTTTTAATATTTACTATTTTGATAACAGTATCCAAAAGAATTCAATTATTTAAAAAAAATTTAATAAAATTCTACGCAAACTTTTAATTATTTTCATAAAATAATAAAAATTCTATAGGAATTTAATTATTTACAAATTTTTTATATATTTCTTCGCAATAATAATTGAATTATTTTCATAAATAATAAAATTTTTACAGGGATTCTAATATTTTCGTAAATAATAAAATTCTTTTTAGGAATTCAATTATTTTTATAAATAATAAAACTCATCGTGGAAATTTCAATTATTTTTAATACAATTTTAGTCAAATTTCTTGAAAAATATATTTACTCTTAAAAATTCTATTAAAATTCGTCAAAAAAAATCAATTATTTACATATTTATTGATAAAATTCTTTATGAGTTTATGAATTTTTAGAAATAATTGAATTTTGAAAAGGTTTCAAATTAAAATCTTTGAAAATCTGAATTTTTATATTTTTAACTAACAATTCTGTGGAATCAATTTTTTTCAGAAAGTTCAATTGCGGATTTATTTAAAAAATTATTTGAAGTTTTTATTTTCTAGTATGTATTTAATTGAACAATTTACAAATAATTGAAATTTTATAAAAATGAATTGTAAACAAATGGATTTGAAAATTATCCAGAAACTTTTGCAAAAATTATTAAAAATAATTGATAATTGTTTATTAATTTCTTTCAATGAATTTTAATAAAATTTTTGAAATTAATTATGTTTTTCTAAGAATTTACTTTAAATTGTATTAAAAATAACTGAAATCCTGTGAAGAATTTTACTATTTAAGAAAATAATAGAAGTCTTGCAACGAATTTTTATTACATTTTAGTTAAAAACAAAAAAAAAATTTAATTTCGGAAAAGTTACAAATTATTGCAGAAATTCAATTATTTTCTTTGCAAAAATTAAATATTGTTCAAAAATAATAAAATTCTTTTTAGGGATTCAATTATTTTTAATTCAATTTTAATCGAATTTCTCGAAAAATGTAATTATTCTTAAAAATTTTATTAAAATTCGTCAAAAGTGTTCAACTATTTAAAAATTTGTTGATAAAATTCTTTATATGGGAATTGAATTCTAAGAAATATTCAATTATTCAATAAATTATTTATTTTTGTATTTAAATAATTGAGAATTTTAGTAGAGTTTTCTGACAAAAATTGATTTGAAAGTAAAATTCAGTTAAAATTTTATATAATAATTGAATATTAAAAGCAATATAGCGCGTGAATTTTTAGAAATAATTTAATTTTGAAATTAATTTTTTTGAAAAAGTTTAATTGAATTTTCTTTTATATTATTTGAAGTTTTTATTTTCTAATATATATTTAATTGAAGAATTTACGAATAATTGAAATTTTACAAAATTGAATATTGTAAAGAAGTGCATTTGAAAATTGCCAAAGAACTTTTTTGAAAATAAAAAATCGATAACTCCGAGTCTTCGACTCGGATTGATCGATTTCTTTATGTTTTATAGTTTTGAGAATTCTAATTTGTAGTTTTAAGTAAAATGTTCTCTTATTTTACTCGGACTGGTTATATTTTTGTCCAAAATTGGTCCGTAAATTTTCATTTTTGGTCCTTAATCTCCGTATTTTTAAATACTTTCACTGGTTCGAGCCCTGCAAGAAAATTATTCGTAACTAAACCATTCGAAATCATTTTTGGTCAGTTTTATTTGCGTATTTCAAAGAAATTAGAAATTTTAGATCTCGAGGAAAGTGTAATTTATTTCTGGAAATAGAAATTTTACATTTTAGACGACAGAAAGTTTGGCGACATTTTCCGATTACATTTTACCAAGAATTGTTCCAAGAATGGCCTAGTGTTCTAGATTTGTCATGCCTTCTTGGCAGATTTCATGTTTCTTGATAATTAAATTTGATGAATCTTGCGAAACCAGAATTTCTCTAAATCCATCTCTTTTTTGACATTCTGTAATTTTGAGAATTGAAAATTAAAAATCGAAAAATTGAAAATTATTTTCAGTACCAAGTTAGGAATTTTTGAAGTCACATAGTAGCTTCTTTGTATGGTTTATCGTCATCTTCCTTTTTATCTTATCACACATTCGTTGTCAATATAAATTTATCTCAATGTGTTTGCCATTTGTCACAGGCGAATTGAAAGAAAATTTTGTCTGAAAAGAATCGGATTTTCTAAGTTGAAATAAAAGACACTTCGACCAGTTCTGGCCTAAATGTGTCATCTATAAATACAGGGAGCTCAGATGAACTCGAACATTCAGCGCCTCTTGGTGTAGACTGCACGTAGTAGCACAACGTATTGCAACTGAAAAACTATGACTCATTTCATTATTGACTTTGATCTTACACTATGATTTAGTCGAAGAAATCATTCACTGCTTCCCAGAAAGTGGAATCTCTCCTTTCAATTTAGAAATTTAAAGGGAACTTTGATTCTATTGTTAAAATAATCTTCCTCTGATGAATGAAATTTTCCAACCCATCCCATCGTCTAATGGACTTTCAACCAAAGTGCTTTAAATTTTTTTCATTTTATTTTTACATTTTCTAGTCAAACGAGGTTTTCTTTTTTCCTCGATTTCATAATTTCATAATTATTTTTTCATAACTTTTTCAATACGGAAAAGAAGTTGCGAGTAGAGGAACATTGCTCTTGGCAAGTAAACTCGTTCTATAAGTGTTTCCAGAACTGTTTGCATATTTGCCAGGAGAAGAAAACATTAGGTATCAATAAACAAATCACTTTGTGACATTTTCGCCTCTTTCCTACTGTAATAAAATATTAAAATTTCTTCTTTGCTTTCGAATTTATTTGCTTACAAATGAAATTTTACAAAAGTACAAAAATTGAAAAAATTTTAAAAATTCTAAAAATTTGAATACGAATATTAATCAGGGTTGCCACAGGTCAGGGAATTCAGGGAAAAGTCAGGGAAAGTAAAATTGTTCAGGGAAATCAGGAAAAAGTCAGGGATTTTTAGTAAAAGTAATGGAAAAAATTGAATTTTTAAAATTCATGACAAAACTCTGAATTTTGATGTTTTCTATGTTTGCCTCGTAAACTATGAAATTACCACGAATTTTAATACAAAACTTTCAATTTTTTCTATTTCTGACAATAATTTCTTCTTAAATAACTTAATTTTTCAAAAAGTTTCATAAAATTATGACTTATAAATAATTATTTCATGAATAACTTTTACAATTTTCATAAATAGTAGATTAAAAGAAGAATTTTAGTTAAAAATACTAAAAAAAAATTGAATTTTGAAAAAGTTACAAATGATTCCAGAAATTCAAATTATTTTCAAAAATTATAAAAATTCTTCGCAGAATTTCAATTATGTTCAAAAATTTAATAAATAATTCTCGTCAAAATTTCAAGTATCTTTATAAATAATAAAATTCTTCATCAAAATTCAATTATTTTTATAAATTTTAATAAAATTCTTGTCAAAATTTCACAGGAATTCAATTATTTACAAATTTTTTAATAATTTTTTTCGAAATAATTCAATTATTTTCATAAATAATAAAATTTTTGACAGGAATTAAATTATTTAAAATACAAAATTTCATAAAAATTTTCGAAAAATATCAATTATTTAAAAAGATTTTTATAAAATTCCTCGCAAGAATTCAATTATTTAAAAAAATTTAACACAGTTCTTTTCAAGAATTCAATTATTTTTATAAATAATAAAATTCTTCAGCGATATTCAATAATTTTTATAAACTTGAATAAAATTCGTAGAAGAGGAATTAAATTATTTTCAAAAGATAATAAAATTAAATTATATTTAAAAAAAATTCTTGTCAAAATTTCAAGTATCTTTATAAATAATAAAATTCTTTTCCGAAATCCAATTATTTTAGAAAAATTTTAATAAAATTCTTGGGAAAATTTTAATTAATTTCTTAAAAATTTAATTAAAATTTGTCAAAAGAATACAATTATTTAAAAATTTGTTGGTAAAATGAATGAGAATTCAATTTTAACAAACATTCAATTTAATAAATTATTTCTTTTTAATTTAAATAATTGAATTCTTCTAGACTTTTCTAATAAAAATTTATTTAAAAATGAATTACCGAATAATCGATTTATTATTTATGAAAATAATTGAATTTTTTTGAGAAATTTTACTACTTGTAAAAATAATTAAATTCTTGCGAAGTATTTTATTAGAATTTTTGTAAATAATTAACTTTTTTTGAAAAATTTTACGGTACTCGTAGAAATTGTCACATTGTCAAATTGTCAAATTGTCAAATTGTCAGAAATTGTCATATCGCCTTCTTCATGTTTTGTAATAATATTCTTATAAGTTGTTGAATTTCAAAAGGGTTTGAATTTGAATGTTTTGAAAAATTTGAATTCCTACAGAAGAATAATAATAATTAAATATTTATTTAAAAAAGAAGTTATTGATTTTTTTTTAATAATTTTACAATTAAAGAAATTTCTAAATGAATGTAATAGAACATTTTTTTGGATATCTAATAATTTTTATAGTGAATCAGAATATTCTTTAGGGTCAGGGGAAAAGTCAAAATCAGTCAGGAAAAAGTCTGGAAATCAGGGAAAAGTCAGGGAAAAATAAAATTAAATATTTGTGGCAACCCTGATTAATTCTCTTCCATAGAAGAAGAAAAGCGTGGGTATTTGAATATTTTAATTTCTCGTGTTTAGTCTGTTAGGATCGCGATTTTCGATATGTTGATCAAGCATTAAAGTACCTTCATGCACACGTTTATCTAGAACGCGTGTGTGGAACGTCATATAGCATCAGGACATAATTTTAACCGAGCTTTATTGCGATGTAACCTCTGTCTGCAGTTGTATTCTGCAACAGTTTGATCTGCTCGCTAGTGAGAGAGTTCTCTTTCATGTTCGTCGAATTTATTTTTCTCGAAAAACAAAAAAATGTCAAAATTGAAAAAAGTTTGTCAACCATTGTGGTATGGGATGTGTTAATTCAAAATTCGCTTCTTCAGCACAATCTGAAAATCTCGAGGAAGACAGACCCATTAGAGTCGAAGTTATGTTCGGTAGGTTTTTTTTTTTTAGTGACAATTTCTTTATTTTTGTAAAATTTACTCAAGTTAAGAAAAAGAGGATAAATTATATATTTTTCGTACTTTTTTTGGTGTATGTGACATTATAAAAGGTGAGAAGAGAAATGGTGAAGGATTATAGTTAAAAACGAAACACGACAATGAGCAGAAAGTTCTAAAGCCCTTGGAAATATGCCAGATGTGTTACGGAGAACTCTAAGTCTAATGAGAGCTCTTGTATTTATGCATTTTGCCAAGTTGGCACGTGTCGCCTCTTCTAAATGAAGAAAAACAGGTGAACTGATAATATAAAAAATTCGTAAATGCCGTCACATCAATTGACCCAATGACCTTTGACTAGCTTCTCTCTCGTCAATATATAATTTTCTTCTCTCGTCAATATCTCCAACGAAAAAAAAGAACTTTTAAAAATCTTCTAAAATATTTTCGCGAGTGTCAGCGAGTGTCATAAAAACAAAGGAAGTTCATCGTTACGTCAACGTATTTTTTCAATTTTTTATTTAAAAATATATACAAAACATTAAAAATCTAAATTAAAAAAATATAAATCTCAAAGTGAAATTAAGAAGAAAAAAACATTTAATAATTTTACGTTTTAATTGTTAGTAATTCTTGGAAAAATACACGTTGAGATATGTGGTAAAAAAGTGACTGGGATATTCAGTTTTTCTTCATTGTACCAAATGTGATTTAATATTTTCACAAAAGTTCTCACTGATCATGAGTTGTAAGATTAAATATGTGTTGAATTAATTAAATTGATTGTAGTTCCAATTTGTTTAGTTTTTAAATATTTTCAGGTTTTTTGTTGTTGGTTATAATTTCCTTTTTCTTCATTTGTTTATAGGGACAAGTGTAAAATCGCCCGGGAAAGGCTCGTGGAATTCGGGAAGTGGCGCCGCTGGTCCAGGAAGAACGATGAAGGAATATGAGGACAAACTTTGTACCTTACAAAAGGAGAATTTTAATCTGAAGATAAGAATTTATTTTCTGGAGGAGAGAATGGGCATCACGTCTGCCGATGAGGACGCGATAAAAAAGAATATAGAATTAAAAGTTAGTATGCAATCTTCTGAATGTTTATTTATTTTAATATTTTTATTATTTTTACTATTTTTATTTTATTTAATTTATTTAATTTATTTCATAAATATGAATTTTTCATTCGGCGACCTGACTCGGATAGTTCGATATTTTTATATTTTATATTTTATTTTATTATTTATTATTATTATTTTAATTTTAATTTTTTCTCGAAAAATGAAATAGTTCTTAAAAAATTGAAAATTGTATTAAAATTTACCAAAGAAATTCAATTATTTTAAAAACCTTTGCCTATATTTTCAATAGATTTTTAATTAAATTTTTTTAACGAATTAAATTATTTTGAAAAATTTTAATGAAATTCTTTGTAACAATTCAATTTCTTTCAAAATAATTTTAATAAATTTTGTCAAAATTCAATTATTTTCAAAATTAATATAATATCCTTCGCAGAAATTCAATTATGTTAAAAAATTTACCAAAATTCTCGTCAAAATTTCAATTATCTTTATAAATAATAAAATTTTTCTCTAAAATTCAATTATTTTCAAAAATTTTAATAAAATTCTTGGCAGAATTTCAATTATGCTTAATACAATTTTAATCGAATTTCTCGAAAAGTGAAATTATTCTTAAAAATTTTATTAAAATTTGTCAAGAGAATTCAATTATTTAAAAATTTGTTGATTAAATTCTTTATGAAATTTGAATTTTAAGAAACATTCAATTATTTAATAATTGAATATTAAAAGCATTAGTGCGTGAATTTTTAAAAATAATTGAATTTTGAAAAGGTTTCAAATTAAAATCTTTGAAAATCTGAATTTTTTATATTTTTAACTAACAATTCTGTGAAATTAATTTTGTTGGGAAAGTTTAATTGCGGGTTTTTTTAAAAATTATTTCTAATTTTTATTTTCTAAATAATTAATTGATGAATTTTCGAATAATCGAAATTTCGTATAATTGAATTGTAAACAAATGAATTTAAAAATTCTCAAGGAACTTTTGTAAAAATTATTTAAAATAATTGATAATTGTCTTCTTTCGAAGAATTTTAATAAAATTTTTGAAATTAATTATGTTTTTCGAAAAATTTACTTTAAATTGTATTAAAAATAATTGAAATTCTGTGAAGAATTTTACTATTTAGGAAAATAATTGAATTCTTGCAACGTATTTTTATTACATTTTTTTTTAAATTAGTTAAAAACACGAAACAAAATTTATGTTTGGAAAAGTTACAAATTATTGCAGAAATTCAATAATTTCAAGAGTAATAATATTTTTCGCAAAAATGAAATATTGTTCAAAAATAATAAAATTCTTCTTAGGAATTCAATATTATTTTCACTAATAATAGAAATCATCGCAGAATTTCATTTTTTTAAATACAATTTTAATCAAATTTCTCGAAAAATGTAATTATTCTTCAAAATTTTATTAAAATTCGTCGAAAGAATTCATTTTTTTAAAAATTTGTTTATAAAATTCTTTATGGGAATTGAATTTTAAGAAATAATCAATTATTCAATAAATTATTTATTTTTGTATAATCTTAATTTCTATGAATAATAATGATTAAATATTTATTTAAAAATAAAGTTCTTTTGAGTCAGGGAAACAGTCAAAGTTTTGTCTCGAAATCAGGGAATTATTTAATTTTGTAAAATATAAATATATATTTTAAAAACCTGAAAATTTTGTTTTTTGACCTGGAAAACCTGGAAAATTCAGCGAATTTGAAAAGAGCAAAAGCGTGACAACCCTGATAATAATAATTAACAAAAAAATGTACGATTTTAGGTTGAAATCGAGTCGCTGAAGAAAGAATTGGTTGAGAAACAAGAACTTCTCAGTCAGGCGGCGACAGCTTTTGCAGTTATTGAGGAACAAAAAGAAGCGTCTTCCAGAAATCAAGTTCAATATCAAATGTCTTTGGAGCAAGAAAGAGGGAGAATAGGCGAACTTGAAAAAGGTGATTTCTTTTCTGCAGAATGGAATTTATTTCTATTTAATTAATTATTGTCTGAAAATATTTCTATATAGACTCTTTTAAAATTAAAATATATTTTTTTTGTTTTCAGAACTGAAAGAGTATAGAGAGAGGTTGTCTGATGGCTCAATGTATTATAAAGAATCCTTTGGAATATCTCCGGAAATGGCGATAGACAATGCAGAAAAATTACAACAAATGGAAGAACTTGTTTCATCCTTAGAAGCAGAGGTATTTTTTTTTCCTTTATCTCCCTTTTTTGTAGAGTCTCTCTTTTCTACAGTATAATTTTTTTGTTTTCTAATCAGATATTTTGCAAAAGAAATTAAATATTTGTTTTACTTAGTAGTCTTTTTTAAGTATTTATTTTATTTTTATTATTTATTTATTATACATATCCTTTCGGCTTTGAGAGAGTTATTTATTTTATTTATTATCTTTAAGTGTTTATTTATTTATTTATTTATTCAAGTAACTAATAAATGGATTTTTCAACAGGTAAAACAATTGTCGAGTAGTTTAGAGGAAGAACGAAACTGGGCGCAGGAGTTGGAAATCGAGAGGGATCAATTGAAGGGTCGTTTAGAATCAGAAGTCAAATTGAGGGAGAAATTAACATTGGAAAAGGATGAGGATATCGATCTTCTCAGGGATAAAATCAAAGAATTGGAGGAGCAGGCATTTATGAAGGACAGTGTCGCGCAACAATATAAAAGTGAATTAGTTGAGAAAGAAAGACTAATTAAGGAGAAAATCGCTATTTTAGAAGACAAATGTAAAGCGTACGAGGAATTGAGTTTAGTTTCCGAGAAGAGAAAAAAGCAAATTGATCAATTAAGGCTTTCGGTCAAATCAAGAGACGACGCTCTCACTGATCTTAACAATAAACATCGAGCACTTCTCTCACAGGTGAATTAAAAATTTTTAATACTTATATTCTTAAAGAAAATATTTAAGAAAACAAATATTCTTAAAGAAAATATTAAAAAAAACAAATATTCTTAAAGAAAATATTAAAAAAAAACAAATATTTAAAAAAAAATATTTTATCTTGAAAAATATATTTTATTTAGATAAATAATATTAACGAACGAAATTTTCTCTTTAAAGTTTGAAAACGGATACATGAAACGAAGCTCCCCTCCGCTCAGTCCGTCGGTAATAAATTCATTCGAAGATCGGTTTTCTCCGAAAAACAGAAGTCCTTGCCTCCAAAGTCCAACGAGAAGTACAAATAGTTCATTTGATTGGGAATCGAGTTCAGATCGTTGTTCAAGATTGAAAAGTCCGATTCAGTCTTCGAGTTTCGGAAATAGTGATATTGATATTTTAACAAAAGTTTGTATTCCTCTAATCCTTCTGTTTTCTAAACTTAAAATTTTCAACCTTGTAAAGATTTTGCAAACTCAAAAATTTAATTTATGTAATAGTTTAATTTTAATTCGTATTTCTACTTTTTCTTATACGAAATTAATTTATATTATTTTTTATAGGAAGTAAAGGACAGAGACAGGGAACTTCAAAGGCAAGACACGGCGAAAAAGCAATTAATCCTAAAATTGTGTAATGTACAGCAATCCGCCGAGATGACAGATTTGAAGTTAAAAAAATTGGAAATCGAACATGAAAAGGCATTGAAGATGATTCAAGGATTCATGGAGAGACAACAACAATTGGAGAGCAAACATGTTAAAAAAGATCGAAAAATCATGGATCTTGAAGTGGAATTATCAAGGCTACGTGGTCCTGACAAATATGGAAAAACCGAATCATTCCGAAGAAATCTTAGCAATGAAATGTCGGATAATCCCGAAAGAGACCACAGTAATCAGGTGAATATTTCAAGTTTTAATCTACTGCCTAATTTTTCACTATAGTTCATCGTTTGTCAAGTTTATGACAAAATAAATTTTAAAAAAATTGAAGAATCTGATCAACGATCGGAGAAAGAAGATGCAATTTAGAAAAATAGGTGATGGAGGATATTTTCAAATTAATAGAAATTATAGCATTTATTATTTATTAGGGAATGAAAGATCTGAAAATTTTTTTAAAGGCGATGTTTTATTGTTTCTTGTTTTGATTATTATTCTCAAGGGATGCATGAATAGAGAGAAGGAATTTTTTAGAGTTAGAAAAAATAGAAGAAAAGCGTGAATTTGCCACCATAGAATACATTACGCTTTTCCTTCTTTATTTCAGAGTGACTGAATTTTACTTCTACTTCTTCTCTACTTTATCATCATCACTGCATGAGTTTTTCTTTGGATATCGCTTAGGGCGTTGTCTCGATTTTAAAAAAGCCAAAGAGAAATTAATCTCGAAATTTACGCTTATTGATAATAGAGATAAGAAAGTTGTTCTTAGAGTGAGAGGCACCGCTTTGCATGGCGCTTTTTTTTAAATTGAAAACGAAATTTGTAGAACTGCTTTTTTGGGTCCAGTTTCGGTTTTTCGCTTAAATCATATTTTTTCAGTTCGGATTAACTTAAAAATTTTAGATACGATTAAATTAGAATAATCATTTTAATTTAAGGAAGAGTAATTTAAATTTAAGATAATTCTGTCGAAATTATACTAAAATAATAATTTATTCAGAAAAAAGTGGAAAATAAGACAGAAGAGATTTAATAGTAGATTGGAGACATAATCGTTTGAGGTTCAACTATTTTTTCGAAATTCGTCAATATTAGCGTGAAATGGTGCACAAATTCCGGGATATAGGGGCGCGAAACGACTTTTTCTAATAATAGAAGAGTTAAGACGTCTTACAGTTGCTAGCCTCGCCACGAAAATTCATTTCGACCAGTAACCGAACACTGTGTGGTTCTCTGACGATTTATAAATAAAAAATACGACGGTTAAATACCGAAAAAATTTTACTTTTTTGCAATGAAAATTTGACAGTTCGGTGAGAAAAAAAAAATAAACGCGATCACTCTGGCATATTATTCTAATTTAATATGTATTTGAGTTTTTAAGCGCGGTGAATATTTTTTTTTTTTAGCTTCTCGGGCGCTTTTAATTTTTCGCATTTTTATCGATATAAAGAAAAGACGAGCAATTATGTTCTCCTGCTGGTGTGCGCCCTTGCGAATGGAGGTAGGTACTTGAGTGTGAAAAGTTTTTCGCCTTCGTGTATTTTTTTCCTTTTTTTTTTTGTAATTTTTGATTGTTTTTAAATTATTCCTGCGAATGTAGATTTATTAAACTTTTTTTTCGATTGAAAAACTTTTTTTTTTATTTTGACACACACACATGATCCTTAATCTAAATATTTGATTGTAATTGTTTTTTTGGGAAATAAAAAAAATATTTCTAATCGTTAGTTTTAAAGTTTACTTTTCATTGGAATTTTCTTTTTCTCTTTTCTCAATTTACGATTTACGAGAAAGTGAAATTTAAAGTTAATGCAATTGACATTTAAAAGCAAAAATTGGTTTTTAAGAGACTAATTTTTTAGTTTTGATTTCAAGGAACATGATAGTGTTAAATACTGAAAAATTCTTTTTAGGGACCGCGTATTGTTACGCTCGTGGCTCCGAGATGTTGGCCTAAGAAAACAAAAAATGATACCCAATTCTAATCGTCAGTCTTCAAGCCCTCTTTTATTAATTAATTAATTAACTCTTTCATGATCAAATTTTTATTTTGCCTTTAAAGCACCATATTTTTATAACATTATAGTTTTATCTTTTTAATTAATTGAAAAGAAAAGTTTTTTTAGTTTTTTTTTCTTTTGGTAAAAAAATTTTAACCATGTATTTTAATAATCGTGCTCTGAATAAAAATCTTTTCGTTGAAATACAATGAGTTTCATTGACGGGGAATACGTTTTGTTTGTGTCTGCAGCAACGTTTTGATGAAATGGAAATCAAGATTAATGATCTTCGGGACCAAATTGAAACTATCAAGGCTGAGAAAATTCGACTGGAAAAGCAAATTCAAGTTGAGTCCGAGGTAAAATATTTTTAATACTCTGAATTATTATTTTTTTAAAGATTTTCTTTTAATTATCAAAATTTTGAATATTTTTTAATCTATTAAATTTTATAAATTAATAAATTAATAGAATAAAGAATATTTTAATTTTTCTTTTCTGCACTTGTTGCCTTGTACAATTTCACGTTGCTTTGAGTGTAAATGATTATAAATAGCTTGACGTAAAGTTTACGCGCGAGAGAACGTTGACTCGACTCACAGACACGCTTCTTTGAAAAGGAAATAACATTTTCTTTTATTTACAATCTGGAAATATTATCCCTTTTAATCTGCTTTAAAAAACATTGTGAGCGTGAGATGATAATTAAACTCTACTCTGTATTTTCAAACTACTTTTTAATAAAATACTAACTTAAAAATTTGTTTCTTCAGATTATTTATAAAAATTTCACTTTAAAAAATTATGTATTTGTAATTTAAAAAACCATATCTAATGTTAAATTTTTTTTCGCAGGAACTTCAGGAACAACTACAGACCAAGGAACAAAAGATTGAATACCTCGAGTGCGAGAAGAATTCTATAAAAGAAGAGCTAGAGGACAAAATGCTTGAACTAAATCAATTGAAAGAAGCCTTTCAACAAGCTAGTGTTGAATTTTGTAATACCGATTCGAATGAAGATAAGGAAAAATTGCGTCGTGAATTATTTTCAAAAAGTACTGAATTAAGAGAGAAAAATGAAAGAATTGATCATTTAGAAAAGGAATTACAAGTGAAGACACAAAATTTACAGAAACTTGTTAACACTGAACTTTGGAGTAAAAATAAAGAAATTGCCAAGCTGCATAATCATATGACGAGTTTTCAAATTCAGGATAAATCACGAAGAAGAAGTCTTGATTTTTCAATAGAAAGTGCAACATCACAATTGAGCGCATTAATCAAGGAGCTCAGCGATATTGGAATTTGTGTTAAATTCACCGACGATGTGATACAATTGAATTATGTTAATGGTAGTGAGCCCATCGATGTAAAAATTATGACTGAATATATACAAAAGCTCGTGACGCAAAAGAATGAATTGGAGAAGGAAGTCGATTATTTGAAGTGGCTAAAATTAATTTCCAAGCCCGATATTGCAGCTGAAATTGATGTTTCCGGTTCTGAGACTGAACGAGTTAAGAAATATTGTGATGTTTTGCGTATGCATCTCAAGGTGATTTTCTATTTATTTTTTAATTTATTTTAATTATTTTAATCTCTTTTTTGCTTTCTTTTTCAATTTCAATTTGATTTTTAATTGAATTAAACTAAAATTGAATTGACTAAAAAAAAGTATACATTTTTTTTCAGGAACTTGTGAATTTTATGAAAGAGACACTGAAGTGTACCGATCACACGGCAGCGATTGATGATGAGCACAAAAAACTTGTCCTAGACGTCCTGCTAAGTTCGAAAATTCTCTCGGATAATTTTGCTCTAGCTCTAGAAGAGAATTTAGTGAGGGGAACAATTGACAAATATGATACTCAAAGAGAAAAAATTGATTGTGTTGTGAGAAAAAGTAAATCGGAGAATATTTTGAATCTTTTAAAAAATCAAGGTTCGACGCCCTCGGATTCGGAAGCATTTTCAGAACCAGATCGAGCCGTTTCTTTGGCGAGGATTGGACTACAAGAAACACAACAGAAATCATCGTCGAGACCAAAATTTTCAAAGTACACAAAAACCTTCAGCGACTCGGAGGATTCTTTAGATTATGTCCCGTACCATAAGACTTATCAAAACGATCTCAATGATTTGGATACCGGTAATCATATCCAGGAGTTGAAAGAAACTAATAATTTACTATTCACTGAACTCAGTGCATTGAGGAGCGATTTAATCGCTAAAATTTCGTTTGATAGTGTGAGTATTATTTTTTTAAATAAAAAAACTACTTCTACTACGCTAAAGTAAAAATAAACTCTAGGTAAATATTTTGATCAGCTAATTAATTTCTATTTTGTTCCATTTTCTTTAGACGATCGATGAAAAGTTAGCGCCTTTAATAACAAAATTAGAAAAATCGCAGAAATTCTGTGAAAATTTACAAGGATCTCTCGAGAAAAGAATAAGCGAATGTCAAACGTTGAAGAGAGAAAACAAACAAAACAGTTTACGTAAATCGCAATTAGAGAAGAAACTCACTGAAATTGAAAATATGGCGTTGGAATTGAAAAAGCAGAAAGCTGAATTATTACAAAATAAGGAGAATTCAGAAAGAAAATCGTCAGACATGATTGTGACACTAAACAGGGAAAATGATACGGTATTTAGATAAAATTATTTACATATTAATTTAATTATAATTTAACTAGCAAATGTTACGCGTGCGAAAACTGATATTCAATGTATTATTATGCAAATTACAAAACTTTTTATTTTTAATTATGAAGTTTTGAATAATTTCACACTCAAACTTTAAGAAAAATTCAATTATTTTAATAATTTTAATTAAAATTTAAAAAAAAATCTCCATTATTTTAGAAAAAAATTCAAAGAAATTCTTCAAAAAGAGTTTAATTAGAATTATCAAAAATTTTAACATATTTCTTTGCGAGAATTCAATTATTTTTCTAAATAATAAAATTCTTCGAAGGAATTCTATTATTATCAAATTTTTTGATAAAATTCTTTGCAACAATTCGATGATTTTCAATAAGTTAATTTTAAAAATGGAAATTATTTAAAAAGAAAAATTATTAAAAAAGTTAGGAAACAAAAAAGCAAACAACAAATTAACTTCAAACTGCGAACAGATTACCGGAATACAACGATTATTAATATAGAAGAAGAATATAATTATTTTTTGTAAAAAAATAATTCTGCTTAAAAATGATAATTTTCAACATTTTTCTTTTCGTTTCAGTTGAGAATGAAGATAAAGAGACTAGAGGAAGAGAATGAAGGGGCAAAAGTGACAATTTCGAATCTCACAAAAGAATTGGATCATCTCACACTATTGCACAGTCAAATTCTCGTGGAGAATACAAAATTATCAAATGAAAAACTTCGTCTCGAGCAGGAGGTGCGAAAATCAGAGTGCAGGTACGAGACGACTGTTCGTAATCTCCAGGATAAATTTAATAAGGAAGCAATTGATTTGAATCAAATCAATGAATCACACAGAATGAGAATGCAGGAACTTGAAGCGGCTAATAAAGAACTTAGGCGACATGTTGTTGTCTGTGAAACAAGTGATTCCGCGCCAAGTTCCAGTGGTGTATCATCAGTCCCTACTGAAGCTGCTTTGAAGCAAACCTGTGACGATATTATTCAGGAATATCATTCATACAACGTAAAATCAATACCATTTTATTATTTATCCATTATGTTTTTCATTTTTTACAAAAAATTTCATTTAAATTTTAGTTAATGCTTTCAAAATAATCTTTTGAAGACTGAAAACAAACAAATATTCAATTCCAAAGAATGCTTTCAAAAAATAGGGTAAAATTATTTTAAATTAAATTGCAAAAGGAATTTTGTATTTGAATTTTTGAGTAACAATTTTGAACTATTTTTGTATTCTATATTTTATATTTTTGTATATTTAATTAAAGTGGAATTTTTCAGGGCTCTCAGTATTGGTTACCATTAAGTTATCCCACGTCGATTGGCCGCAGTAAATCGAGTTGCTCGCCGGATCTTGGGATCGAGAGTGACGCGGCAATGACGACGATGAGGCCGTTGAAAGATACACTAAAAATTACAGAGTCCATGACCAATCTTCTTAGCGATGATGAAAACTGCAACAACAATCAGAGGTTACGAGACACAAGAATTGAGAGCCCGCTAGAAATAGAAGGTAACTCAAAAAAGTCCTTGCAAGATACTTAATTCTCTTTCCTTATTTCGTTTCTATTAAATTTCGTTATATTTATAACTTATTGTTGTTATTATTATTATTTAATTTTTCTATTGAAATTCGTTTCATAAATTTAACTCTTAAACAAAATATTTACTTTCTTTTAATTTTTGTTAAAATTCGTTTTCATTATTTAACTAATTCGAATTTTTTTATTCATTTTTAATCAAATATTAAAATTTTTATTTAAATTTGCAATTAATTTATTTTTAAAATTAATTAATTAATTATTTTTACTTAAATTGTTTAAATTCAAAAACTTGTAATTTTAAAAATTCTTATTTTCTAAATTCTAAATTCGGATTCGTTGATTAATAAATTTTATTTTATTCGTTTTTTATAGGTGGGCATAACTATAGTATGTATTACAAATAATTAAATTCGATTAAAAGCTTTTGGCACGCTCTCATTAATTTTCTATATATAATCGCACGTATTCGATGTTAACAGTGCGAATAATTTATTCTAGACATTTAAAATTACAAAATTCATTAGAAGGTGTTTACAAATATTTTAAATTTGAATAATTTTTTAAGAATAAATAAATTCATTGAAATTCAATAATTTCTTTTTATAATTCTAATATTTGTAAACATTCTTGATCATCAAAATTCATATTGAAAATAATAATTCATCGTTCCTAACGCATGTGAATTAGTTAATGAATACAAAATTATAATTTGACACTTATTAACAAACTTCTTTTTTACTTGAAATTCTATCATCATCATTATCATTCTTTTTTTCCTAAACAAATCTCGTTTGGAACGTTGTAATTAATATTCTCTTATTCGTAAACAAGCTTCGCGAAAAATAACCAATAGTTATTCAAAAGAAAAAAATACTGCCAATCGGAAAGTTTTATCAGTATAAAAAAATTATACTAAATAACATTCAAGTTTTGCTCAGGAAATTCATTTTCTTCTATGTCTGCAAATTTCAAACTATTTTAATTAGTTTTTTCGAAATCGCGAATTTCTTTCCATTTGGTAATAATAATAAAAAAAAACAACAAGCAGTATATTAATTTGTCATTGTTTCTATTCAGGTTTGGATGAAATGGAAACGTTGAAGCAGGAAAACGAGGCCTTGAAGAGAAGATTGATGAAAACTCGCAAAGTTTTAGAAGATACTTTCGAGCGTCTCTCAGCATCGAATAAGAGTAAGAAGAATGTCGAAAAAGCAATAACGAAACAATTATTGATGACTAAAAGTATTCTAAAGAAAACCAGAAATTATGAAGAACCTTTTGAAAACTAAGAAACAAAAAGCTCAAAATTTGCCTTAGAAGGTACGTGGTTTTTATTTTTTTGTTTTTCTATTTTTTACCAATAATGTCGTTTTTTGAATTCTCATTTCTTTGAAATATTTATTTTTCAATTTTTAACAAAAAACAATTACTACGTATACAATATTTATTATTGTAGACGTCAATTGTTTACCTGTACAATATTTATTATATATATATATATTGTAATGACTTTATACTCAATAAGAAAGTACTTTTTACTATAAAAAAAATCGTCGACAAAAGTGTTTTTAATGAAAAATTAGAGATTTTTTTCGTTTATGATCTCGAAAATAGTGAGGTAAACTTTGTATTCTACGGTACTTGTACATAATCTACGGTACAGAGTAAATTTACAAGAGTAGTTTTAAACTTTTTTTTACCAAATTTTACGACAATAGTTTTAGTTTTTAATTATTTTAAGAACAAAGATCGGAATCGTATTTTCCGATTTTTGACAGATTTGCATACTTTTTCTGTATATAATTACTATATATCAACGAAATGCATCTGTAAATAGTCCACAAAATAAAAACGCCATCGATTGCCATTTGAAATTTTGCAAACTTTTCTTCAGAAATATGTTTTTCCATTTTCAATTTTCTTTCAATGTTCATAATTCATTTTCATTTCTTTGTTTTATTTTAGTTTTTTATAAAAAAAAATTTTTTTAATTTAGTTTCATTTTTATTTTCTGTTTTTATTTTTTGTTTCTTATTATTCACTCTCATTATAATATAGTCGATGAATAAAAGTATGAATGAATAATGAATGAATAATAGTAAATAAATTAAAAATAACTTTTTAGATTAAAGGCATCGATAGTTTTTTTTTAGGGTTAGGGATTTAATGAGCGGAAAACTCTGATTATGATAAATCTTTATTATCACTTGATGACTAGATAATAACATAAAGATCCGTAATAACTGATTTTTGTCACGTGTGACTTTGTTCCACTTACAATTTATAATATTATACAACCTTAACATTCTCGTTCGATCTATCGCTTTATTCCTCGTTGCTGAGGAAGTTGTTTTAAATAATATTTCTCAATTGCAGTACGCTCTTTATTCTTTACTAGCTAATAATTGAATTTTGAAAGAGTCGAACATTTTTTTACAAGGGAGAATAGTTTTTTACAAATTATCCACGAATTACAATAGAAAATTATTGACGAATGAAAATTGCAAGTAGAAAATTGTTTAGAAAATGAAAAGTTACGAATTTAAATTTAAATTTAAAAATTTAAATTCGAATCTATTTACGATAATAAAAAAAGATTTTTCGAAAAAATTGTGCGTAAATTAAAATTGTGAGGGAAAAATGATTTTCAAACGAAAAATTATTAGAAGGCAAAAAAAAAATGTTTAACGATAATAATTATTTTTTTGCGGTGAAAAGAAAAGGAAAAATATGATTAGAAAACAATTTCTTGTGCGCTGTATTGTAGCGAGACGAAAATTCATTTTTTCATAGTAAACAATTGCTCTTAATTAATATTAATTAACAGTAAACGTTTTTGATTATTCACAAATTTTATGCACTTTTAAAACGATTGTTTTTGAAAAATTTACGGAAGAAGACAGATTATCAAAACGCTCCAGTTTGCAATTTTTTTAAAATTCATTTGATTATTTTCAAATAGTTTTCAGAGATTAAAAATTTGCGTTGTAATGAACGAAGTATGCTGCGATCTTTAAGAGCCACGTGTTAGAATGATAGAATTATTTACAATATGAGAATTTAATTCCTACCTGTTGAAAAAAAAGCATGGTAGATAATTGAGCCTCAATCGAAACAAGATTGAAATAATAATGTCAAATCTTTGAAAAATTTAAAGAAATAAAATAGAAAATAAAATAGATTAAAAATTGGTAAAAAAAAAAGTTTTCTTGATTTTGATCGAGGCTCGAGAACGAAACTACAAGTCTAGGGAGTTTACGTCGATTTTTTTTTCTTGAAGTTTATCGGAAACGAGGAACTTGTACATAAATATATCTATATTACTCGTAATATCAATTATGTGTATCTACGGTAATGAGTGGCGCGTGATTATTAATTAGTTTAAGACAATCGGAGCCGTTTTAATCCGGTGGCATTTTTTTCTCATTTGCATTTTTAAGAGTAAACGGAAGGGACGGCGTCAAATACAGCTTAGAATAACGCCGAAAATAAAAAAAAATCTTTTATACACGATTCCCGCGAAGATTTCATCTATCGATCGGGAGGGAGGTCAATCACTTTTTTTTCACTAAAATAAAAATATATTATATATATTTACTATTCGTAATATAACAAAAAAAAACGAACTTAAAAAAATTATAAATTTTTTTTTTAAGAGACAATTTCTCATTAATATCCAACAGCGATAATATTAAAAAAAATATTAATAGAAAGAAAAAATATATATTTTTTTTAATCTTGAATTTCTCAATTTATTGGAAATTCGAGAATTTCGTAATTTATATTAATTATAAATCGCGTTTTTCATTTGTAAAGAAAAATGCGTTATTCTATACGGTATTCGTGGATTGAGTTTTGGAGGGTTATGTGGCGTAATGAGTATGGTGATGATGAGGATGAGATGGTGGTTCACTGAGCCAAGAGTCCGGCGAGGGTGGAAAATCGGGATAACCAGGGCCTCCGCCTCCACCGCCTCCTCCACCTCCGCTTGATTCATTGCTCAAGTCAGAAGCTGGACCCGGTACCATTCCACCTGGTCCTCCTGAAAAATAATTTTTTTATTAATTAATTCCTCCAATTTGGAGTTTTATTAAAATTCTAATTTTCAATTCGATTTTTTTTCTATTCGTTGAAATCAAATACCAAATTTTGGATAAATTTTAATTTATCTACGAGTATCAATTACAGTGATTTGAATTTAATTAAAATTATTTAGTTAAATATAATTATTCAATTATTATTTAGTTAATTGTAATTATTTAATTATTATTATATAATTATATATAATTATATATATAATTATTATTATATAATTATTCAATTATTATTTAGTTAATTGTAATTATTTAATTGTAATTATTTAATTATTATTATTTAATTCTAATTATTTAACTCTAATTATTTAATTATTATTACCTAATTTTAATTAATTCACTTTCAATTTTTGAAAATTAACTTTTAAAGAATTTTAATTGAAAATTTTGGAAATAATTTAATTCTCAAAAAATTCTAATGAAAAATCTTCAATTGTAAATTTAATAAATATGAATATTATCCGAGGCCTGAATAATAATTATTCAGTCAACTGTAATTAAAATAATGATATAAATTTGAATTGTTTAATTAAAAAATATAAAGTTAATTAAAAAATAATTTGAAGACAAATATTTTTGTTTTCAATTTTGTAAAAGTTTTCTAAATAGAGGCAGTAATTGAAAAATGAAGATTTACCGAGAGTGGTGTAAACAGAAAGCCCAGCATCATGGGGATATTGAAATTGGGGTGGCAAGGACGGCGATCTGGACGTTGAAAGATGATAAGGGGGCGTTGTGGCACCCAGGTAACCACGTGGTGGTCCACTATTACCACCGCTTCCTCCTCCTCCAGGACTCGCACCATCTCCATCCAATCCCATATTCACCACAGTTCCATAACTATCATTGCTCAAGTCTACAATAAAAATATTTTATATTTCCAATTAGAAATTTACTCCAATTTACTGATAATTGTTGATTAATGAGTTTATATTTCAATTTACAGCAAATAAATAATAATAATTATATTAATAATAATATTTTTAATAATTTATTGAATTTTATCTATTTAAATTTATTTTATTGTGATTTAATAATTTTTCTATTATATTTTCTACTATTAAATGATTAAATAATTAAATAATATACTTTCATTAAGTAATTAAATAATTAAAATATTTGCTAATATTAAATAATTTAATTATTAAATTATTTAATATTTATTTACTTAAATATTTACTTAAATATTTTTTATTTTATTTTTATTATTATTTTATATTATTATTATTATTGTCATTACTATCAATAGTTAATAATATTATTATTAATTATTAATTTAATTAATGAAAATAATAATTTATTTAATTAATAATAATATTAATAATTAGTTTTCCTCGTCTCAAAAAGATTGACAAGAATAATTTCTCTTTTCATTATTTAATTATTATCAGTATCATTTAATTTTTATTATTATTACTATTAATATTACTATTTTATTACTATTATTATTATTTTATTATTATTAATATTATTATTATTATTATTTTATTACATTTAATATTATTTTACTATTTTAATTATTATTACTCTCATCTGAAATTTGTTTAAATTATTATTATAACATATTTTTATTTCATGCATTTCCAGGTTAATAATATTTTTCTTACAGATATTTATCATGATTAAAATTTTTATTTATCATAAAGTTTCCCCTTTTTATAGTAAAAAATAATTTATTTTTTGAGAAAAGTTTGAATCAATAATTTAAATTTTGCCGCCATTCAAATATCGATTGCCCCCAACCTTATATCGATTTAGCAGCGCTAACTTCACATTCTTTCCCCCCGGACCGGACTCTCATGGCGAGGGTCGTTTCTTCCGTAATAAAAAGTTGTTAAAATTAATAGAATCGTTGCATTTTTAATGATTAAACTGTAAAAAAAGATTAATTAACTAATTCCGGGCCGATATTGCATATTTTTTTGGAAGAGTAAGTTATTTTTTTTCTATGATTATTCATTAATGACAAATGGCGAAAAGTTAGGTTAGGTCATAATTTGCTCCAAAATTGATGAAAATAAATTGTTTTCAAGTCACTAATTCATGTATTAATTGATTATTTTTGTTCAAAGTAATTGATTTCATGTGAATTAGACGCGGATTTACTAATTAAAGATTAAAATTTGTTTGGAAATATGATTATCGATTTCTTGCTGAGTTGCGACAATTTGCCGCTAGTGGCGCTATTCCCGTCGTGGATTTCATGCGTCAATGGCGTCGATTGTGCAATCAATGGTAGGAAAAAAGTAATCTTAATGAATCCTATTAAAAAGTCACCTAAATACATTAAATTTGTGTCGAAAATTATATTTATACTATTCCGGGGCAATATATCGGATTATTTCGGAAGATTTCGTCACTTTTAAAAGGTAAAATTGACTTTTCGTACATTTGCAAAAAAGTTAGGTTCGAATCAATTTTCGTGACATTTATCGAACAAAATGATTAATTATTTCAAAATAAAAAGTAAATTCGAGTAAAATTATTATTAGGAAGGCAAATTATTAAAAAATTTTTAACTTTTAAGAAAAATTTTGTTGAAAAAATTTGCCATTGTAGTATACAGGTAGTACAGTAGATTATTGATTTTGACAGCAATCTCATTCATCCTTGCAACTATAGTACAGAAAAGGTTTAGTGTTGTTTTAGAAATTTGTTTTATTGTTGAATATTTCAGTTCAAATGTGAAATTTAATAAAAAATTAAAATTTCACTTTCTTGATGAGTCAGAAAAAATTGCTTTGATCTAAAATAGTTTAAATTAAAGTTTTTATTAAAACTTTCGCATTTTTGGTAAAATATTAATAATTTGATTATATTTTTGAGTTTCCTTTTTTTAAATTTATTTTCACAACAATGAATTAAGTAGAATTGAAAAAAAATTCTAATCGATATTTAAATTTGCCACCCTTGTTATCGAAATATCGATCGTTTCGACTTTTCTATCGATCGAAAAGCGCCACCTTCACACTAGGCGCACTTCACTCTGTTCCCGTCTTTCCTAACTAGTGTCGTCGTTGCTCCGAAAAAGTTCATAAAAAGTAATAAAATAAGTTCATTTACAATGCTCAAACTGCAAAAACAGTATAATTATCTAATTCCGGGCCGATATTTTCTACTTTTTTGGATGAGTAAGTTATTTTTTTTATCCGATTGTTCATTAATGGACGATTGCGTAAAGTTAGGTTAGGTCCCAATTTTCTCCAAATTTTCGCTTTAAAGTATCAAATTCCAGTAATAATCAATTATTTTTGTTAAAAATAATTGATTTCGCAATAATTAGAAACGGATTTGAAAAATTTAAGATTAAAATTTTTGCCAATATAATTATCGATTGTTGCTGAGTTTCGCCAATCTGACGCTAGTTGGCGCTTCTCTTGTCCTGACACAGTCTGTACATCGATTTTGCAATCAATAGCAGAAAAAAAGTAATCTTTATGAATCCTATTATAAAAGTTAAATATATAAAAGTTGTGCCAAAAATTATATTTATACTATTCCGGGGCAATATTTACAGTTATTTAGTAAGATTTCGTCATTTTTGAAAGGTAAATGTGACTTTATTGACATTTCGAAAAAAGTTAGGTTAGAATCGACTTTCGTAATATTTGTCAAATGTAAACAATAATTACTTTGAAATAAAAAGTATTTTCGACTAAAATATCATTAGGAAGGCAATTTATTGAAACTTTTTTTGCTGTTAATAAAAAATTATTTTTCAATTGTATTTGTTTGTCAATTGTTTATCAATTATCAAAGTAATTTTTTCGATTATCTATTGTTTTGAAGACTACAATCGTAAAGTATTTTTCTCCTAAAAAGTAATGAAAAATATTCCATAAATTAATATTTTTCATTTTATGAATAATGTCTCAATAAATATTATTTTATATTTATTATTATTGATGTGTAAATACTTTGAAAAAAATTGGAGAAATGTTATAAAAATTTGTATGTTTTTTTTTATTTCGAAAAATAATTTTTTTTCAAGAATTAATTCTTTTTGAATAGAGAAAATAACATTGTTTTTATTTGCCGTGCTTGTTTAGTAAGTTAATTAATCTAATTAAAAGGCAGATAGTAATTTTACAAGGGATGATGAGATAAACATACGGCGAGAGACACGCAAATGGTCGGTAAAAAGAATGGCGTGACTTTCGTCTCGTCCCGGGATCATCTGTTCTGATTTACAGTGTAGATAAGGACACCCCCTAAATATTATATACAGTTTTGTGCCCCTCTTTCATAATATTTACAGGGAGGAGTCAAAATACGATCTCGTAATCTAATTAACTTTAAACAGAAATTAGAATAATTCAATCTTCATTTATATGCATTTTTCTGTTTTTGTTATTTTTTGACACGTTTTAATTTATTTTGAATTATTTTCCATGTATTTTCATTATATTGTTTAAATTTTTTCATTATTGTATTATAATTATCCAATTTTAATTTATTTTATATTTATATGTTTATTTATTTATATTTTTAATTTTTTTCTAAATAAATACATATTTTTTCTAAAAAATATATTATTTTACTATAAAAAATTAAAATATGTTTACAATATATTTTTTAATTTAATATAAATTTTGAATTAAATATATTAGGATTTATTTAGTTATTTATTTATGTTTATACTTGAAAATTGAATATTTTTTGCACCGTTTTTTAAATTTTATTTAGTAATTTATTTATGTTTATACTTGAAAATTGAATTTTTTTTGCAAAGTTTTTAAAATTTTAACTTGTTTTTTATTTAAATTTAAAATTGAATACGTTTTTTTGCCAATTTAAAAATTTTTTTTAAGCAGTTATTTATTTATGTTTATATTTGAAAATTGAATATTTTTTGCAACGTTTTTTAAATTTTGATTTGTTATTTATTTATTTACATTAAAATTAAATATTCTTTTGACAATTTAAAAATTTTATTTAGTTATTTTACTATTAATGTTTATACTTGAAAATTAAATATTTTTTGCAATGTTTTACTATAAAATTGAATATTTTTTCTGAAATTTTAATTTTATTTTGTTGTTATTTATTCACTTTAAAATTGAATATTTCTATCAATTTAAAAATTTTATTTAGTAATTTATTTATGTGTAAACTTGAAAATTGAATTTTTTTGCATAGTTTTTTAAATTTTAACTTGTTTTTTATTTATTTAAAATTGAATACTTTTTTTTGACAATTTTTGAATGTTATTTAAGCAGTTATTTATTTATGTTTACATTTGAAAATTGAATATTTTTTGCAACGTTTTTTAAATTTAAATTTTTATTTATTTATTTACATTAAAATAGAATACTTTTTTTGACAATTTAAAAATTTTATTTAGTTATTTATTTATGTTTATACTTGGAAATTGAATATTTTTTGCAACGTTTTACTTTAAAATTGTATATTTTTTTCAACAATTTAAAATTTTTATTTTGTTCTTTATTTGTTTATTTTAAAATTGAATATTATTTGAACAATTGCAACATTTTATTTTGTTCCTATTTATTTATTTATTTTGTAATTGAAAATTTTTTTTGGCAATTTTTAATTTTCTTTTTTTTGAATATGATTTTTCAGATTATATATGAAGGAGGTTGTATAGTCAGTCTGTAAAATCGAAAGATTTTTTCAGTAGTTCCGGATGTTTTTGGTCAGACGAGAAGCAACCAGACGATTTGGAATACAGATTGTAAGTACCTTTTTCCCCTCAACATTATATGAGTAAGTAATTTCATCAATTGAACACTATTTGGTTATTTTAATTTATTAATTTATATTTTTGCTAATTTAGTCAATTTTTTTCGACTAAATTCAAATTTAATTGAGAATTTAAACAAAATCGAAATTTTTTTACGCTGATTTTAGGAAATTTTTATAGTGATGATTAGTGAAAGAAAAAAAATTGAATATAGAAAATTAGGTGAATTATGATCGTGATTAACTATAATTTTTGAAGACGATGGCCATTTTTAGAGGGTGAAAATTAATGCGACCGCGTTCGTTGCTTTCAATCGGGAGACAGAAAAGTATAATGGCAGTGGTAAATTCGAGCGGTCCGCAATCTTCCTGAAATCTCGGACGCCGGTGCTGGCAGTTAGCCGAGCCATCTCTTGAATATTTGAAGAGATCTTCCTTCCACTACGGCTCCGACTTTAGTGAAACGAATGCGCCATTGTGCCATCGAATTTACCAGCCAAGGAAAAAATTATTTCTCTCCCCAAAAAAAAAGATAAAAAAAAATACGAAAAGAAAGGAAAAACATTTAAAAATTTTCTCAAATGTTTTTCTAATCAGAAAGTTGTCAATTTCTTCTTCTTTCTTTTTTCAAAATTGTATTTAAATATTTTTTTCAACCGTAAGGTTTAAAAAAACTTCTAAATACAATTTTGCTAAAAGATGTAATAGATTTTCGTTTATTAGAAAGATAAACAATATTATAGACAATTTTTCTAAAAAAATAATAATAGAAAAGAAAATATCCAAAAATTGTTTTTTCTAGATAATTAGATTAGGTATCACAAAAAATAGGATTTCGAAAAATTTTTCTTTTTGAAATATTAAAGTTCCTAAAGGGAAAAAAGAATAGAAAATGATTATTGAACTCTGGAAAAGATTAATATATAGAAAAATGTAAATATAGTAAAGTATTGTTACCATGGTGACCGTAGGAAGAATCAAGATCGACTTTGAGTTCATCCTTATCAAGGAGCTTATCGTGCCTTGGAGAATGACCTCCAATTCCGTTTCCTTTTATGCCAGCCCCTCGGAAATAATGCGACCATTTTGTCCTTCCGGCGTCTTTTTTCAGCCGTTTTTCTTTCGCCCTCCTGTAAATAAAAGTAGAAAAATTAATTTTTTTATTGAAAAAGAAAAATTTCTATTGGTTAAATTAATTTTATTATTAGTTAAATTAGTATTATTGTTAGTTTAATTATTTTTATTATATAAATATTAAAAAAATTCAATTATTTTCAAAAGTGGTGGTTTTTTTCTCATAAATTCAATTATGTTCAAAAATTTTTAAAAATTCTCGTCAAAATTTCAATTCTCTTTATAAATAATAAAATTCTTCTCCGAAATTCAATTATTTTCAAAAAATGTAATAAAATTCTTAGGAACATTTCAATTATTTTCAAAAATTATTATTTTATTTCAATTATTTTTAATATGTATCTACTATTTTAATAAAATTTTCCAAACGAATTTTATTGTTTAAACAAAATTTGAATGAAAATTTCACAGGAATTTAATTAATTACTAATTTTTTTATAAATTTTTTCACACCAATCCAATTATTTTAAATATTTTAATGAAGTTTTTCCAAAGAATTCAAACAAATATACACGGAAAAAAAAATCAGCCTAATAATGCATGGAGTCTATTGGTTCGATTTTTACATGAGCCCATTTTGCAAATATCACACAGGAGTTTACTAAAAATGCATGGCTTTTGTGACTTTTGCCACAGCACCATGCGAAAATAGGATGGATTCCAAGCTAATCACGCATGGTAGTGTGCGTGCAATATACACAACAGACGCTCATGTGTTTTTAGCCTAGTATTTTTTTCCGTGTAGAGAATTGAAAAAAAAAGTTCTGAGAAATTCAATTATTTCGAAAAATTTTAATAAAATTCTTTTAAAAATTCTTTACAAGATTTAGATAATAAAATTGCAATTTTAATAAAATTTTCCAATACAATTCAATTATTTTCAATACAATTCTTCTTAAGAATTTAATTATTTTCACAAATAATACATTTTTTCGATGGGAATTCAATTATTTAAAAAAATTTGAATAAAATTCTTCTCTAGAAATCAAGTATTTTCATAAATAATAATATTTTTCTACGGAATTCAATTAGTTTTACAAATAAAATTCTTCACAGGAATTCAATTCTGTAAAAAATTTTTGAATAAAATTCGTAGCAAGAATTCAATTATTTTTATAAATAACAAAACTTATCGCAGAATTTAAATTATGTTTTATACAATTTTAATTAAAATGATGGAAAATTGCATTTATAATTACAATTTTTTTTAAATTCGCCGAAAGAATTCAATTATTTTTAAAAATTTTGATCAAATTCTTTATAAAAATTTAATTTTAAGAAACATTTAATTATTCAATAAATTATTCATTTTTGTATTTGAATAATTGAATTCTCAAAAAATTTTCTAATAAAAATTGATAAAAAAATAAATTTCACTTAAAATTTTTAATTATAATTGAATATTAAATTCAAAAAGTATTTCATAAGGAAATGATTTGCATCAATTCTATTTCTTAATTGCAATTGCTTTAATAAAATTTTAAGTTTTTTAAAAATAATGGAAAAAATTGTTTATAAATTCTATTTGTCAATTACAAATTTTAATTGAAATTAAAATTAAAACTTTCAAAATTTTTAGAAAATAAAGGAATAAATTTTACTCAAAAAAAAAGTTCTGTTACATTATTATTTACGAATTTCTTTTAAATTATTCGAAAACATCGATAACTTCTTTTTTAAATAAATATTTTATTATTATTATTTTTCCATTGGGGTTAAGATTTTTAAAAATTTCAAATTCAAACATTTTTTAAATTAAAAAACTTATAAAAAATTGTTATAAAACATGAATTTTTATATTATAAGAAAATTGTTACTGTAGGTAACTTTTTCAAAATTATTTTCATCATTTTAATTCAATTATTATTTTCTAGAATTTTTAATTATTTTTTTATGAAAATAATGGAATTATTGCGAAGAAATTTATAATAAATTTGTAAATAATTTTAAAAATAATATTTTTTTTAAATAGGTAATTGAATTCTTTTGAAAAATTTTATTAAAATAGTAGATATTAAAACTCATTCAATTGAGGAAAATGTTTAAAAATAATTGAAGTTTTGTAAAGAATTTTATTAAAATGCCTCTAAATAATTGAATTTTCGGGAATAATTTTGTTATTTATTTTTAATAATTGAATTCTTTTGAAGAATTATAAATGTAATTAATTGAATTCTTGGGAAGAATTTTATTAAAATCTAAAAGAATAATTTCATTAAAATTGTTTAAAAAATAATTGATTTCTTTCAAACAATTTTATTAAAATATTTCAAAATAATTGAATTCCTGTGAAAAATTCTAATATTTTTGAAAATAATTGAATTCTTCAAAAGAATTAAAAAAAAACATTTTTTTAAATAATTGATTTTTTCGAATAATTGAAATTAAATTTTTTGAGTAATTTTTGTAAAATTTTATTAAAAATAATTGAAATCCTGCGATGAATTTTATTATTTATGAAAATAATTGAATAGTTGCCAAGAATTTTATTAAAATTTTTAAAAATATTTGAATTCCTGAGAAGAATTTTATTATTTATGAAAATAATTGAATTATTGCGAAAAATTTGATTAAAATGTTTAAAAAAAATTGAATTTCTGTAAAAATTTTGTTATTTTTGAAAATAATTGAATTCTTCATAAGAATTTTTATAAACATTGTTTTAAATAATTAATGTTTTTGAAATATAATAAATATTATTAAAATTTTATTTTAAATAATTGAATTCTTCTGATAAACTTTATTTGTGAAAATAATTGAATTTTTCGATTAATTATAATTTAAAATAGTATTAAAAATAATTGAAATTCTTCGATGAGTTTTATTATATTTTGAAAATAATGGAATTATTGCGAAGAAATTTATAAAGAATTTGTAAATAATTGAATTCATGTGAAATTTTTATTATTTATGAAAATAATTAAATGTTTGCCCTACCATTATCAAAACCAAGAGTTAAAAAGAATGTTTTGAATTTACTGTTTTACATTTTAAATATTTATTTCCTGTTTTTATTTTCCGTCAAAGCAGATTTTTAGAAACGAGAAAAATTACCCGATATGACAAAAAAAAAATTAAAATAAAAATAGTTTTCGTTTTTCTTGGAGTGATAAAAATGAATTATGAAACGTTGTTTATGAATTTCACGAAATAGAGGAATGAGAGAGAGAGCGTGAAAAATTTCATTTTTTTTCTTCCATGAGGATGGTTTTCCACGGCTGGAAATAAATATGAAGTTTTGTTGGATGGAGGATCAAATGTTCTGTTGCATATATATAATATTGATTCTCTTCCTAGTGATAACAGAAAACCCTGTTCATTGGATACCACCCGCCATCTTGTTTGTTTTACAGGATAGATATTATTCGTTCTTTTGTAAAATATACCCACAAAATATATCTTGAAAAAAAGTCGAACGTATGGTTAAAAAAAATCTAAACTTGAAACGTGAAAAATACACACCAAGAAAATTTTATTTAAATCAAATATAAATATAAATATAAATCAAATTTCCTAACTGGAAAAAATTAAATTTTTAGAATTCATAAGAAAATTCTGAATTTTTGTGTCTTTTGAAAATATTAACAAAAGTAAATTCTTTAATTTATTTTTGATTCATAAGCTTTGAAATAACCTCAAATTTTAATACGAAACCTTAAATTTTTTTCTATTTCTGACAATAATTGCACTGAAGAAATGTATTTGATTCCAATAACCAATAAAAAGTAAATATTTAATTGATAATAGTTAAGTTAAAAAAAAAATGAAAAGAATAAAAAAATAATTGATTTAAAGAAGACGTAATGATTATATTTTTATACGTGATTCATTTTGTAAGAAGAAATAAAGTCTTATAAATGCGCTTTCGAATCAAGAATATCATTGTTTGTGCAGAGAAGCCAAAAAAAATATAATTATTGATTTTTGCGCGTGATCGGAATTTTACAATTTTTCTCCAGAGGATTGTTTAGAAATTATTTTTCCTATCTCTTGAATATTCCTAAATTTAGAAAAATGGCGGCAGTCTTGTTTGTTTGGAATATGAAAAATACACTTGTATTTTTAACAAGTTTCTTCTTAAAATTTTCATCTTTGGAAAATAATTTCTTCTCATTGTAATGGGATATTATTTTCTTTACCTATTTTGGAACCAGACTTGAACGACCCGCATGTCGAGTCCTGTGTCTGTTGAAAGTTGTTCACGAACATGCCTTGCTGGTTTTGGACTTTGGTTGTACGCCAATTTTAGGGTTTCCAATTGTTTTGCAGTGATCGTTGTTCGTGGTCTTTTATTCGGTTGATCACCATCGATACTTCCTCCATCGGCCAATTCTGTAATTGAAACAAAAACTTTGTTTTTTTGCTATTTTCTTTTTTTGTAAAAATTGATTTAACAAATGGGTTTCTTGATTTTTGTATTTTTTTAAGGAGAATATTGAAGATGAAAATTGCAAACCTTTGGCCTTGGCTTGTTCGTAATCAGCTTTGCAGACAAGTTTTCTGTCCTCCATGAGGTAAAATTCGTCTCCAGTACCTAGTTGCCTCGAGCACATGGCACAGGAGAAACAGGGAAGGTGATAGACTAATTCTTGGGGCACCTGGCCTTCTTTGGCAACCACGGCTTTGCGTACCATCTGCGAAGGGGCCACACCCGAGCCACATCCAGCGCATTTTGTCCCGAAACGCCTGCCACACCAACAGCACGCAACATCTTCACATTACATTCACACATAATTTCTGATTTAAAGGCAATTTCGATTCTAAGGTGAAGCTTTCATTTTTTTTTCTCAAAAAAACATCCGCTATATACTTTATTTAGATATAGTCAATTTTTCCATTAGTTTCACAAGATAACTTCATCTGCCCAACAAAACTGAAATGTCGCATAACTTTAGAATTTTTACTTGGGTTTGGTTGACAATCATGTTTCTACTTTTAGAAAAATGTAACATGAAAGGAAAATTATATTTTAAGAGAAGAAAAAATTCTTGTTTTAAGTTGAAACATTTTTAATATTTTCAGACTTTACTCATTTTGAGAATAAATTTATAATGATGATTTTTATTAAATTTAGTGAATTTGATGGGGAATTTAAGACGAATTTAATTTAATTATGAATTTAATTTATGTACTGAAATCATTAGCTTTGTTCTGAATTTAAGACAGTGCCATGTTAAATTAAGAACGAACTAAATTCCATGCGTAATTTTTATAATCTGATATTAATAATTCAGGGCTCGAACTAGGTCCTTAAAGTCCGTTTTTTGAAAAAAGGTCTGTAAAGTCTGTAATTTGATTGAGAAAAGACAAAAAGTTCGTAAATTGTCGGATATAATTTGGAGACTTTTAGAGAAATTATAAATGATTGCAGAAATTTAGTTATTTTCAAAAATAATAAAATTCTTCTCCAAAATTCAATTATTATCAAAAATTTTAATAAAATTCTTGGCAAAATTTCAATTATCTTTAGAAATATACTTTATTTACTCTCCCTGCTTATCTTTAGAAATAAATAAATTCTTCTCCGAAATTCAATTATTATAAAACAGTTTAATAAAATTTTTGGCGAAATTTCAATTATCTTTAGAAATAATTAAATTCTTCTCCGAAATTCAATTATTATCAAAAATTTTAATAAAATTCTTGGCGGAATTTCAATTATCTTTATAGAAATAATTAAATTCTTCTCCGAAATTCAATTATTATCAAAAATTTTAATAAAATTCTTGGCGGAATTTCAATTATCTTTATAGAAATAATTAAATTCTTCTCCGAAATTTAATTATTATCAAAAATTTTAATAAAATTCTTGGCAAAATTTCAATTATCTTTATAGCAATAATTAAATTCTTCTCCGAAATTCAATTATCAAAAATTTCAATAAAATTCTTGGCAAAATTTTTAATATTTTCAAAAATTTTTTTGAATTCAATGATTTTTAATATCTACTATTTTAATAAAATTGTCCAAAAGAATTAAATTATTTTTAAAAAATTTAATAAAATTCTACGCAAAATTTTAATTATTTTCATAAAATAATAAAAATTTCACAGGAATTCAATTATTTACAAATTTTTTATAAATTAATTCGCAATTATTCAATTATTTTCATAAATAATAGAATTTTTACACGGATTTAATTATTTTCGTAAATAATAAAATTCTTTTTAGGAATTCAATTATTATTTTCATCAATAATAAAGCTCATTGCAAAATTTCAATTATTTTTAATACAATTTTAATCGAAATCTTCTCAATTTGTAATCATTTTTAAAAATTCTATTAAAAATTGTCAAAAAAAAAAATTGTCAATTGTCAAATTATTTCAAAATATATATATTGATAAAATTCTTTATGAGAATTGAATTTTAAGAAACATTCTATTGTTCAATAAATTATTTATTTTTGTAATTAAATAATTGAATTCTAGTAGAATTTTTGAATAAAAATTGATTTAAAAATGGATTTCAGTTAAAATTTTATATTATAATTGAATATTGAAAGCATTAGAGCGTGGATTTTTAGAAATAATTGAATTTTGAAAGGGTTTCAAAATTAAAATCTTTGAAAATTGTAATTTTTTATATTTGAAACTAACAATTCTGTGGAAATAATTTTTTTTTTAAAAGTTTAATTACCACAGATTTTTTTTTGAAATTATTTCAGGTTTTTATCTTCTAAATATATTTAATACTGAAGAATTTACGAATAATTGAAATTTTGTAAAATTGAATTGTAAACAAATGAATTACAATATTCTCAAAGAACTTTTTCAAAAATTATTAAAAATGATGTATTTATAGAAGAATTTTAATTAAAAACACGAAAAAAAAATTTGATGTTGGAGTAGTTATAAATTATTGCAGAAATTCAATTATTATTTTCAAGAGTAATAATATTCTTCGCAAAAATTAAATATTGTTTAAAAATAATAAAATTCTTCTTAGGGATTCAATTATTTTCACTAATAATAGAACTCATCGCAGAATTTCAATTATTTAAAAATGATTTGATAAAATTCTTTATGGGAAATGAACTTTAAGGCGGTGTCAAAGTGGTTTGTATTTTTGCATTGAGCTTCAATGGGAAAATCGCATCGACTTTGACATCCCCTTAAGAGAAATTCAATTGTTCAATAAATTATTTATTTTTGTATTTAAATAATTGAATTCTAGTAGAATTTTCTAATAAAAATTGATTTAAAAATGAATTTCTGTTAAAATTTTAGTTAATAATTGAATATTTAGAGCAATATAGCGTGAATTTTTCGAAATAATTGAATTTTGAAATTAATTTTTTTTTGTAAAAGTTTAATTGAATTTTTTAAATATTATTTAAAGTTTTCATTTTCTAATATATATTTAATCATAATAATTAAATAATTAAATAAAATCATAATAATAATTGAAATTTTGTAAAATTGAATATTGTTAACAAATGGATTTGAAAGTATTCAAAGAACTTTTACGAAAATTATTAAAAATATTTGATTTAAAGAAGAATTTTAGTTAAAAATTCTTGAAAATAATAATTGAATTGATTGACAATGATTTTATCACTTGGTCATCTTTAATCATTATAAAACACGAAGAAATAATTGTCAACATAAATGAGTAAAAAAAATTTACCGAATTTCAGTTTTGCAAGACAATATATTCATATTTAATTAACAAAAACAAGCCTTATTCTTCGATAGAATATTATTCCAAAAAGATTTAACATTTTGACTAGAATTATATTTTTATTTACGAATGAAGAGAGAATTTTTATTGAAAGTAATAAAAAAATCGATTCGCGAATTAAATAATTACGATAAATACGTAACTGAAGTTTTTCAAAGTGGCTAGTGCGAAAAGAAGATTACTATTGAATATTTTACTTTCTTTCTAATATGTATATTCTTATTTATTATCAATATATTTTTAATATTTTTGTGAAGGAAAAAGAATGTATTCTTTTATATTTAGCAACTTTTGTAAACGTCAGTTACGTAGAAATTGATACTTACTTGAAAAAGTCTTCCTTGCAAAATACGTGACCATTTCGGGCATAACATTTTTCCGAAAGTCTGCTTCCACAATCTCGACACGTGAGGCATCTCGCATGCCAACATCGTTCTAAAACTCTCAGGATAAACCTATCCAAAATTACCTTCTGACAACCACCACATTTTGGTATCGTAGCTGTAACATAAAAATTGAAGAAATTTCTTTAAAAAATAGGCTCGAATTTATTTTTTTAGGAGGTTTTTATTTATTTGTTTTTTTATGTGTTCGTTAAGTTCTGAATGTTTGATTGAAGTGAATTTATTATAAAATTATTTTATAATCGTTTAAATTAGTATGAAGTAGATATTAGTTCTGTTGTAAGTGCTTTTAAACTTTGTTGATTTTATATTTTGTTTAGAAACAATTAAATAGTATGGTTAGAGAGGACAACATTTAAAAATGTTTTTTCAATAAAAAACGATTTATTTGAAGCATTAAATATTAAAAATATGAGGATAGAAATTAGAAAGTTAATTTTTATTATTGAATCAAATTATCGTACGCTCGAAATTTAAATTAGTTAAAAATAACTATTTTGATAGTAAAAATACAAAAAAATAAAAATAAAAACTGAGTAAAATAATTAGTTATTTTTTACTAACTGCTGATGCAGAAAGTCAGATAATTCTTTTTTTTTTTACTAACAATTATAGTTCTTTTTAACTAATTCAGATTTACTCTCTTAATTTGAATCGCAGTTAAAAATCATGATTTTAACTGACAATCAGTGACTAACTTTTTGTTTATGAATCAGTTTAGGAAAGAATCCGATAATTAATTACAATTGCTTTAATAAAATTTAAAGTTTTTTAAAAATAAAGGAAAAAATTGTTTATAAATTCTATTTGTCAATTACAAATTTTAATTGAAATTGAAATTGAAAATTTCAAAATTTCTAGAAAATAAAGGAATACATTTTACTCAAAAAAAAGTTCTGTTACATTTATTTACGAATTTCTTTTAAATTATTCGAAAACATCAATAACTTCTTTTTTAAATAAAAATTTCATTATTATTATATTTCCATAGGAATTAAGATTTTAAAAAATTTCAAATTCAAACATTTTTGAAATTAAACAACTTTAAAAAAATTGTTATAAAACACGAAAAAATCGATCACTCCGAGTCCTCGACTCAGAGCAATCGATATCTTCATGTTTTATAATAATTAAAGATGACCGAGTGATAAAATCATTATTTTCTATTATAAAAAAATTGTTACTGTACGTAACTTCTTCAAAATTATTTTCATCATTTGAATTCAATTTTTATTTTCTAGAATTTTTAATTATATTTTATGAAAATAATTCAATTCCTTAAGAAAAATTTTATTATTTATGAAAATAATGGAATTATTGCGAAGAAATTAATAAAAAATTTGTGAATAATTGAATTCCTGCGAAATTTATATTATTTATAAAAATAATTACATTTTTGCGTAGAATTTTATAAAATTTTGTTTAAATAGGTAATTGAATTCTTTTGAAAAATTTTATTAAAATAGTAGATATTAAAAATCATTCAATTGAGGAAATTTTTTAAAAATAATGGAAATTTTGCAAAGAATTATATTAAAATGCCTCAAAATAATTGAATTTTCGGGAATAATTTTGTTATTTATCGACATAATTGAATTCTTTAGAAGAATTACATATTTATGTAAATAATTGAATTCTTGGGAAGAATTTGATTAAAATCAAAAAGAATAATTGAATTATTTCAAAATAATTTAATTAAAATTGTATTTAAAATAATTGATTTCTTTCAAACAATTTTATTAAAATATTTGAAAATAATTGAATTCCTGTGAAATATTTTAATATTTTTGTAAATAATTGAATTCTTCCAAAGAATTTAAAAAAAACATTTATTTAAATACTTGATTTTATTGAGAAATTGAAATTAAATTTTTAGAATAATTACATTTTTTGAGTAATTCCTGTAAAATTGTATTAAAGATAATTAAAATCCTGCGATGAATTTTATTATTTATGAAACTAATTGAATAGTTGGTAAGAATTTTATTAAAATTTTCAAAAATAATTGAATTCCTGAGAAGAATTTTATTATTTTTGAAAATAATTAAATGTTTGCGTACAATTTTATTAAATTTTTTATTAAATAATAAAAAAATAAAATAATAATAGAAATAATAAATTTTTCAATAAATAATAATCAAACCGATTATTCGATTTATTCGAGTATTTTTTTGCTTTAAAAAATAATTATTACGATTAAAAATTATTTTTGTGTCTCATTGCAAATAAGAAAAACTACAAATAAAATATTTGTCGAAACGTTAAAATTGTGTTTTTATTATTTTAATATTTGACTTGGAGGATTGATAATTTTCTCTATATTTTATGCAAATAAAATAATTTTCATAAAAATATTTTGTTACATTCGACTTTTTTGGAAATTTCATGCGAACTTTTCTTGTGAATTTATGCGACTAAAGCAACTTTTTTTGGGTCTTAAAGTCGATCCGAGCTCTACCATGTCATAATTTCGTATTTTAAAAGAAAAGGCCACATTAAATTTTAAATTCCTTTCGGTAGAAGCGTAAGAAATTTAATTTTCTACATTTTGAATAATTTAAAGTTATATTTGAATACAAATTATACTTTTTTGTCAATAATAAATGATTTAAGTAACATAACCTTAAAATTTATCAAATGTTTCTTATTGACAGAAAATTGTAATTTTTATTTAAATGCAACTGTCAATCGTTTTAAATGTTCAAAATTAATTTCTTCGCCTTTCCACCAAAACGAATTTAAAATCTTAGGGACTGTCCATAAATTACGTAAGACATTTTTTTGGAAAATTTGACCCCCCCTCCCCCTCGTAAGATTTTTTACATACATTAGCGCCATTTTTTCTATTGTTCGTAAGATCTCGCTGACCCCCCCTCCCCCCTAAATGTCTTACGTAATTTATGGACGGCCCCTTAATTTGTCTTTTTCTTTTAAATTACGAAATTATGACATTGGACTAACTTTTGTTTTGACTGTACATCAGATTCTTCCTTAAAAATAACTGATTTTCAGTAAAATCCTATAACTTAAAAAATTAGTTAAACTTGACTAATTGAATCAGTCAAGAAAAATTTACTGAAACATCAATTATTTTTAAGTAATCAGTAGAAATAGTACTATTTGAATTAGTGACTGATTTTTTGCTTCTTAGTTATTTTTAACTGATTGAAATTTTAGAGAGTAGAGAGAGAATAAGTAAATAATAAATTAATTTTTCGAAACTTACAATACAAAATATCGGGAATATTAGGTGGAAGAGTGACTTCGAGAGATGAATGTTCTAGGGGTTGCATCTTGAGATGCGAATCGTGAATATTATTACTAATAATATGCGATTCTGGACTGCTTTGAGGTGGTGTTAAGACATCACCACGACTACGAAACATTCCCTGTAGAGGTAGAACTTCACAGCCAATCATCTTATATAATATTCTATATTCAAAACAAGGCAAAAAATTGAAAACAAAATAATAATCGAATTTCTATATATAACTAATTTTCACTGGGTCCTATTTCACTATTTTTCTATTTACGCAAATCACATTAATCCTCAAATTGACACATCTTTCTTTATTGTCACTTATATCTGTTATCACACAGTGACCTAAAGTTCAAGGAGACAATTTTCTCCACAAGTCCATATTTTCATTATATAAATAACGCACGTTTTCTAATCCATAGACTTGAAAATGTCAGATATAATTTCACTGTTTGTTTTCCGCACGTGTAAAAAAAGTGTTTTCACTTTAGAAAAGAATTTACAATATTTAGACGTGGTTTTTTTTTTCTTGATAATAAGGTGGAAATTTTCATTCGTGAAAATTGAAGTAAAGAAAATAAACAACGGGAAAGAAAGAAAGGAAAAATGATTGTTTATGTTTATAAAGTTGACAGCGTAAAAGCACGCGTGCGACTGATAGATTTTTTGGAGGGGTGATCGTGCGCACGTGACTCTTGGAATAAACGAAGGGTGCGGGTGGGGTAAAGTGATTCACCATTGGTTGGTAAATCCACCCCCGCGTGGGTGCGGATTGGTGGAGGGCTTTTCCGCCCTCACAGTATGGCGTGTGCGTTATCAGGGGGTTGAAAGGGCGAGAGAGTTTCAACCCTCCATAAAGAGAGGAGAGAGAGAGGGGGGGGGGATGTGCAGGTTTCAATGTGAAGAGAGAAAATACTAGGGTGAGAGATGGAGGTAGGCATGAGCAATAGAGAATGAGAGAGATAAAAGAATACCGAAATATCCGTTTTGACGCTTCTGCACCCTTGACTTCGACGCAAAAGTGGGCGCCAGGGGTGACGAAATACTATCCTTTGAAAACGCCAACGCGAAGATCCGAACCCGTTAATATTTTATGGCAGCCTTTGAACAAAACAAGAGAATAAGAGATCCAAGATTTTATCTGTCATCTGGGATTATTTATTTTAGCTTTTTATTTTTTTTTTCCTTTTATTATTATATACATAATTACGCTCGTCAGTTATGAATTTGTTTTTATGTGTGTTGATCTTTCGTTATGTTCTTTTTCATTTGCTAGGCGAGTTTCATAAATAGAAATCGTAATTTTTTCATATTTTATAGAAAAAATAATGTAAAATTGTCTAAAAAGTATTTTTGAAAATGAAAGTAATGGGAAAAATTAACAGGGTTAATTATTTTCAAAAACTTTTTTCAATTCACACGCAGAGAAATGGTTTTTGAAAACCAAGTTAAAAACGCTATTTCACATAGTAAAATATCGAATCATTATGAGATATAATTAAAAAAACTACCAGTTCTAATATTAAGTACTATTTCATGATTAATAGTGCTATTTGTACATCTAATTTCTCGAAAAATGAAATTATTCTTAAAAATTTTATTTAAATTCACCAAAAGAATTTTAATTATAACCTATTTAAAAATTTGTTGATAAAATTCTTTAAATGAGAGTTCAATTTTAAAAAACATTCAATTGTTCAATAAATTATTTATTTTTGTGTTTAAATAATAGAATACTAGTATTCTCGTCAAATTTTCAATTATCTTTAGAAATAATTCAACTCTTCTCCGAAATTCAATTATTTTCAAAAGTTGTAATAAAATTCTTAGCAAAATTT